TTATAAAGAAGAAGAAAAGTCTAGAACAAAGTCGCAGAGTCCTTACGGTGCTCTTACTCAAATATTTCTTTCATTTTCTCTTCTTCTGCATGAATTGTTCCGGCTATTATAATGAGTAGAAGGATACTAGCTGGTTGAACTATGGAATCCTTGGTCATCATGCCTCTGTTGATGTTTGAACAGAAAATATGGTCTGGATGACAACACCATGGATTTTATTGGCCATGCCTTGGCACTCCATAGAGATGACCGGTTCCTAGATGAGCCTGCCCTGGATACTGTCAAGCGAATGAAGGTGAATGATCCTGTCCCAGAACAAACATTTTTCTTATGCTTGAAAGAAAAATGTTTCCCATTTTGCTCTGAATTGACATTCCTCTTCTCTTGATAGCTCTATGCAGAGTCACTTGCTCGTTTTCAAGGAGGATCTCCCTATATTTACCCATTGTATGGGTTGGGGGAGCTCCCTCAGGTACATCTAGCATCACAGATGCATGCCCAATCAGCTGCTCTAGATACAGTGGCTCAAATCCGTTACTGATGCCTGACCATTTACTTTAGGTTCTGCTTAACTTTTTTTCTTTGTTATCCAGGCATTTGCACGGCTTAGTGCTGTATATGGTGGGACTTACATGTTGAACAAACCGGAATGCAAGGTAATCATGTCATTTGGTTCTCATTTATATTTGGACTAATAATTATATACTTAGTTTCTGACAATATCATGAAGTGGTGTTTTATTTATTTTTTTTTTTTTTAAATTTCAAGTTAAAACTGCTACTAATAGAAAGAAAAAAATGTTGTTTTATGTTGCTGTTATTGCAGGTGGAGTATAACGATGAAGGCCAAGTCATTGGTGTCACATCAGAGGGTGAAACTGCTAAATGCAAAAAAGTTGTTTGTGACCCTTCCTACTTGCCTAACAAGGTAATGAATATGATACTGCATCATGATCATCGCAGTATGTTAGCGAACTTATGTTGGAGTCCAGTTTGTTTGATACAAGTGGTATGAGCTCATGTGGTATACTTATAATATTGATTCCGAAGATGGGATAGTAATCTTTCACGAGACTATTGTGGCTTAAATTGGTTTAAAAATTTTGTGGAGCTTGGTTGAATAGGTGCATATTGGTTCTATCTGTCAGATTCTTTGCATGTAGATCTTGTGTGCCTGCTGCACCCCTGTGATACTAAGAAAAAGATAATTGTTGCTGCAGCAGTGCCTATGGTTATTGAATATAAGATTTATTTTGCCACTAACATATGACTACTTTCTCCGCCCTGAAGGCCTTAAACCTCGCAATTACACCCCACCCACTCGGTCCTTTTCGTTTTAAACAAAATAAGAACGAGTAACAAGCCCCGATGACCAGGAAGGCGCATAAAATGCAGATACACCTTTTCTCTTTTTAATTGTGCAACGACATTGGACATCACACTCATTGGGAATATTTAAACTTCTGCAGGTTAGGAAAATTGGGAAGGTCGCCAGGGCAATCTGTATCATGAGCCATCCGATCCCAAACACCAATGATTCTCACTCAGTGCAGGTTATTATCCCACAGAAACAGTTGGGTCGCAAGTCGGATATGTAAGTCCTTGTGTACACTAATTGGTGATTATTAGCTACAGCTTCTTATTATATTTGATGTCAGAGTCTGTTCGCGAAATGAATGAGGAAAAAGCAAAATGTTTATTGTCCGAAGAGAAATAGCTTCTCACTTATCTATTTAACTGCATTTATTGTATTTGAGGTGGGAAAGGAGATGAATGTAAGTGTAACAAGTTAAGTATCTTTCCCATGAGATTAGTGATATTTTATTAAGTTTACTAATCAATCATTTTAAGTCACGATTAGAACTGCTTGAGCCACATTTCACTTCTAAATAGCATTTGATACCTGCATTTTGGATCTTGAATTTCACAGATGGTTCCATGCGCCTGCTTAATAGGTTGGCCTTGGATTACCGATGGTTTAAATCCATTTCATGTCCTGATAATCTAAGCATTGTTCCTTGATTTCGACTCATTATTCAACTATGCGTATGTTTGAGCAGGTATCTTTTCTGTTGTTCATACTCTCATAATGTCGCACCAAAGGGCAAATTCATTGCATTTGTTTCGGCAGAGGCTGAAACTGATCAACCTGACATAGAATTGAAGCCAGGGGTTGATCTGCTGGGACCCGTTGATGAGATCTTTTATGACACTTATGATAGATATGAACCAGTCAATGAACCTTCTCTTGACAACTGCTTCATATCAACTGTGAGTTTTGTTCCCCGCGCCCCCCCCCCCCCCCCTCCGTTCTCTCTCTCTCTCTCTCTCTATGTGATATTAAATATGGAGTTCAGGAGCTTTCAATTATATTGATGTTATGTTAATATCTTGCTATACCTGCAGAGTTATGATGCCACAACCCACTTTGAGTCGACTATTGTGGATGTGCTTAACATGTATGCCATGATCACCGGAAAGGTAAGAATTACTTCTCGGAAATGTCTTCTGCTATTAACTATGATATTGATGATGAATTCTTCGTTGGCGTGGCGAGCATGAGATATTCTGTGACAAGTTTTCTTGTGCGTTTGGAAGTGTTTGAGGAGACTTTGGAAGCTATTAATACTAGAATTGCTGGTGTTCTACCCTTCTCATTAATTATACCTGATGATTATGCATCTATCTGTTTCCTAAGTAAACTCAGCCTTTAAGTCATTATTTGAATGTTTGACTAGTTAAATGATAGAGCCATGCCATGTCCTCCCATTCTTCTCATGTCCAATCAGTGCATTGGAGGTGATCGGTTTGGTTAGAAGGGTGTTGGCTATTTACAATGCAGTATCAGTTCTCAACTTTTAGACCTACTTCCTAGCCCCATGAAACCTGCCCAAAAGTTCCACCTACTGCACAATCTCTCTTTTCCTTCTGCTAATCAAGCCTACATTCCCCTTCAATTAACGACCAAAGTGGTCCTTAAAATGTTAAAAAAAGAAGAAGAAAAGCTTATTCATTATTGAGATGTGTAACAGTTTGAACAGGACAGAAAATACCAAATAAATATAAGGTGCATCAGTTAGTCAAAGTAGTTGTTAATTCATTGGCAGAGTCAGAAGGAAAAAGTTTGAAAATCGACTGACATTACTTTGAAATGATTGAAGATCGGAAAGATACTTTTTTTCGACTCTGCATAGCAGCAATTCAAGCTTCTTTGATAGGACATTGAAGGGTAAGAGGGGGAGATGCTGACCAAATTACATTCTTCTGGGCAGGTTCTCGACCTCAGCGTGGATTTAAGCGCTGCCAGTGCTGCGGAGGAATGAGTAAAAAGAGAGGTTCGGCGTATGAATTGCTAGTGCCTGGTTTGGATCTCTTAGACATCAGTTTTTAATGTCGACGAACCTCTGGAACATGAATTTCTGGTTACTCTATGTATTACCAACTGTGATCAAGTCGTGTTTGAATTTTTTTTACCTGAGGAATTTACACTCAAAACGTGGATTGTTAATTTAAAAATGCTAGTCGTAAGTGTCGGCTCGACATTCTCCTCCGGAGATGAAACGGTCCTTGGAGACACTACCGAAATATTACGGGGTGAATGTGACTGGATGGATCACACCCTTCCCAACTCAAACGGTGCGGACTTTCTGTAGGCACGGATGACAGCTGAAGAAGCCGTGTGTGTAGGTCTCATTCTCATTATGCCATGCACCAAGCTAATGCGAGCCAAGTATATCGGCGCCGTTTGATTTGATGAGATTCACGTGGGACTTGTATGGTCCGATGGTTCACATGAACCTAGTGCACATGCGAATGCCAAGTCGGGTGAAAAGAACCTGTACCTATCAAGATGAAGGAGTAATGCACAAGAGACATGCCTGCATGATTGTTACATGGAAACTGATTTGAGAAGATGATTCATAAAACTACGTAGGCACATTTAAGCACCCAATAAGCACCCACTGAATTTTAGTTTAAGACAGCTTAAATTGCTGTTCTCTGCATTTTTTCGTCGGTGCCGGTTCCCATACCGATCCTTGCCCATTTCTTTTGCTTCAGTGTCTTCTGGCCTGATTCCTTCTGATCGGCTTGTGCTTGCTCAGCTATCCCATGCGCCTCCACCGAACCCATAGCGCCTCCATTATCAGCTGCTTCTCTTGATGATAATAGAGTGCAGCTGCTTCTCTTGATGTAATAGAGTTCATGTTCTTCAATGGTAACGGTCCTGTGCTCACCCATCTTGATGAACCGAGAAAAGCAAAAAGAGGCATCTTCGTTGGTTCCATATTTTTAGTTCCGACATTACATCAATACGTCGCAGTTGTAACCTGAACATACCCGAGTTTTCAGGACTGTATATAGTGGTAGTGTGCTGTGTTATAACAGCGGAACTGGACGAATGCTCTATCCAGAACACATGAACAGAGTGCTAGGCCTCATGGATTGGTCCTGTATGCAAAACTGGACGAATGCTCTATCCAGAACACATGAACAGAGTGCTAGGCCTCATAGATTGGTCCTGTATGCAAATAAGGATCGAATAGATACAAATAACGCTCGCCCTATAACACGTCTCGCGACAATATAACTAACCTTTCCCATGGTGCAAGAGCCGAAATTGTACTGGAACTGGAGCACGACGGGGAGCATTAGTTCAGCATGCAAGTCCTAAGGCGAAAGCTCTGTTATAGAAAAGTTTATCTCGTGCCAGTTTATACTCACCAATACAAAGAAGAAGTAGGCTAGTTCGAAAGAGTATTGCATAAGAGCAAAATTCATGTTTTTTTCAACCAGATCTCTTGTGGACTCTCAAACGTAGGGAACCGACTTATTCCGGGTGAAGTGCTTACTTTATTCCCATAGAAGCATTTAAAAGAACCGAAAAAACTCCATACATAGCCATGATAATCATCCTAAAAACGTCTCTTGGCAATTGAAATTTGTTCGGTACCGGAGCAATCTACCTTCTACATCAGCTAGTCACACCAAAATTGGCTATGATGTAACTCACGGATTCGATGTCGAGTTAGCAATTACAAGTCCCATTCTTGTCTTATAGATTTATCTAACAATAGTGTAATCATCATTTGAGAAGCTAAAAATCAGCTTGCAGTCTGCTCTGCGCCTCACTGATTCAAGTGTTCCAAGATACAACAGAGATGTCATAAACACATGATGCTTGAAATTTTGCAAACTTAAGAAAGCTTGAGAATCTTTATGGCTACTTCCGATTAATGGCACAAATGATAACCAAAACTACGTATTCGACCCTGCAAGAAGTACCCAAGAACAAGTCAATCGCTGGAATAATTAATTGACTTTGAACAGAACAGGGCTTCATACAAAATACTAGTGATCAAGTCGTTATGGATTCTTCAACTTCCATTGCTGAATCACTGGTGAAGTCTCCAAAGACATAACTTCGCGCATGATGTACATTCAGGTTTTGGAATTGACTCTGCTCGTGAATTGCATCTTCAGATGCTTCTAATAATTGCGAGATTTATTCCGATATATGCGTCTTCAGTGTCTCTAACCAATAATTTGCTAGAATTCCAGCTTGAACACGGTCGGTTTCCGCCGTTTCATTGTTGGCTTCAGGTAACAAAATAGGAAATCAAATTTTTGTTTATATTCACTCAGTGAAATAAAACAATCTTCATCTCCTACCTACAAAAAGAGTAATCTTTTGATAAGGTAAGCAGGGCATCTAAAGAACAGAGGATCCGAGTTGCCACCTATCTTTTCTTTCTGGACAATAACAGACTTACAATCTTCAAGCTTGTACTATTCGTCCTTTCAGATCTCAGCAGCCTCCCACCGCCTCCATTGCTGTATCGAAGAGCGCATGAAGTCAAAGGTATGACATTGGAGTATTTATCCGGGAGAAATTTTGGGAAATTAGGAGGCCGAATCTTGCCAAATTAAGCAACAGTAATGCCGCACCTTTGTTTGTGTACATAGAATTGTGGAAACACAGACAATCACATGGACCACGGCGAGCACAAAGATGAAAATGTGTAGATGATGTAGTGCTGTAAGTGATAACAATGGCACCTATTCCTGAAAAAAGAGATACAAAAGGCCATAGCAATTCAAGATACTGGCACCACCGAAAGTCCTAACTTTATGTACAGAATGCAGTCAAGTCATAAAACCTTTCAATCGGTTCTGTGTCTGTGTAAAAATAGATTTTTTCCGATGCACGAGAGACCATTTGACTGCAATAATCGGTCGCAAGAAACGCTTCAACGAGAAGACCGCGTCATCCTCCGTTGGTTCCACTGGAAGAAGAGTCCGACTTTCTGCAAGGTCCCAATTCTTGTTATAAACACCAGGAGCAGCGATATGGAAACCAAGCAGCATCAAAGCTCCAAGCCACTGCAATACATTCACGCGCAAAACTCTGAAAACTTGATGTATCATTTCGTGCTGCGTAAGTACGTATGTCATTTTCTTTACTTTTCCTGTCTGCTCTCACCTTCTTTGATCTTTTGCAAGGCATCAAGGAGAGGCTTCTGCTGTTTCTCGTAGTGTCTGCGATATTTGACAAACTACAGAGTGACTTACTATACCATGAACAAGGTCTTTCCCGAGAGAGTACAACACAACGTTGGAGATGTCAAGGAACAAAATGCATTTAGCTGCCTCGCCGGCCCAATGAAGGGACCTTTCACGAGAAAAGAGATCACCCCTTCGATGCAACAAACTACGGCCACCACCCACGTCGGTGCGAACTCTAAAGTTGTCCCCTCGACTCCGTCCTCAGCCATTCTCTCTCTCTCTCTCTCTCGACAACCCGGTCTGTGCAAACTCCTCGATTCTTAACTGATGATGAAGGTGGATTTCGAGAGAAGATGGAATATAAAGAAGTGGCAAGTTGGCGTCCCCCGTTGACAAAAAGAAAATCTCTATTATTGCCTCAAACTCACGAGCAGGAGTGAGTCATTTGTTTGATCGATATGGTGAAAGGCGAAAGCTTGTTCGTACTTGGTAGATAACATCGTCAGCTCCTTTTTATTCTGCTCTAATCTCCCCACGTCAAGGAATTCCCACTTAAAAGACCCGCTAAAAATACAAACATTCTGGTATAATTTTTGAATTGTGATTGACTTTGTCCATCACATCATTCATAGAGCGAACCTATTCATATCTTTTCCACGCAAACATTGTCGGAGTGGACCTCATGCAACACGCGTGCGTCGTGAATGTATCTTGTCGTTTGGTTTTGGTGTGGCCGAGTCTGAAACGATTGAATCCTACTATGTCGATTGGCCCGGATGTATGTGGATGGATGTCCCTGGTCCATCTAATAGTGTGTCTTAAGAGCTATCTATCTCTCGTTCTTACGTTACTTCTGCAACTTCATGATTCACTTGCCTCTTGTCCTAAATCGCAAATTCTTCCTACACACAGTATTCTGATTTTGCAACTTCATGCACAGTTTTAGTATGGCCATACTTGGTATATCAGTTTTATTATTTACCTTTTCCCGATCAATTTGTTTTTTTTTTATAAGTCAAGGTATATAATTAAGCAATTACATATTTTGTAACATATAGAAATAATTCCTGAGACCTCTAATTATATTGCATGAACCCATCGTTTTTTTTCTAGGAACGTAAATGTGGAATAGTTGAGTTTAAACTAGTTAATTAAAAAATATAATGGTTTCCAAGTAATGTGAAGGGAAGGGAATAGAGTGTTGTGAAGGCTTGGCTCAACCACAAACCTCCATTCTACTCGACTTTCTTTTGTGTTATAGATGGGCCAAACCTTAGAAAACCTATCTACGCAACGGTTTGGTAATCTTAACGAAATTCTGATTCTGAACTACTAAACCTTTTGCGGCGACACCAATCAAGCCCTAATGGATTCATCCTTGTAAAACCCCAAGAAATTAATATCTTAAGGCAACAAGATTTGCGGCTAAAGGTAGCCAAATCTTGTGTTTAATAATATTTTTGAACATCGCTAATGAAAGGTACATGTGCCTATTTATAGGCTTTAAAGGTTAACTATCTAAAGTAACAAATAACAAAATATCAATTACATCAAATCAAAATCAAGACAAAATCTCCTAAATATATTTATATCTCTAACACAGGAAAATAATCACGGAGGAAATCTCTGCTGAGCTGTAGCCTTGCTGTCTAACATCCCCCCACAAGCTGATGTGGCAGGAGTCATAGTAAGCTTGATCTGAAGAAGTCGGAACCGAGGAGTGGAGAGGCCTTTAGTGAAGATGTCGGCTGGTTGATCATGAGTGGAGATGTACTGAACATGAAGTTGTCCTTTGGCCACACGCTCACGCACAAAGTGGTAGTCAATCTCTACATGTTTAGTGCGAGCATGGAAGATGGGATTGCCAGTAAGAGAGATAGCAGAAAGATTATCACACCAAAGGCCAAGAGGAGCAGGCAGATGAACATGAAGATCGCGTAGTAGAGCTTCTATCCAAATGAGTTCTGCAGTAATGTCAGCAAGACACTTAAACTTAGCTTCGGTACTGGATTGATTTGCGGGAGCTCCATGAAATGAGATTTGAACCTAAGAAGATGCCAAACCCGCCAACAGAGCGACGAGTATCTGGAGCATTAGCCCATTCCGCATCGGAAAAAGCATGCATCTGAAAAGAAGAGTTGGGAGTGAAGAGAATACCATGATGTTGAGTGCCTTTGATGAAATGAAGGATCCTTTTAACAAATTGCCAGTGGATCTTAGTGGGAGAGTGCATGAACTGACAAGCTGTGTTGACAGCATATGCGATATTTGGGTGAGTGAGCGTGAGATATTGTAGAGCCATTACAATGCTGCGATATAGCGATGGATCGGAGAAGGGTGCACCAAGATGGGCAAACGGGGCACCGGCCGAAGTGATACATGGCGTGGAAATAGGACGAGCCTTAGTCATTTTGGCCCGCATAAGCAAATTTGCAACATATTTAGCCTGATGGAGAATAATACATCGGTCTGTCCGTTCTATTTCAATGCCAAGAAAGTAATGAAGCTCTCCCAGATCTTTTGCAGAGATTTAATGAGAGCCGACAATGGCGCATTAGGTGACCCAGTGATAATAATGTCATCAATATAAACCAGAAGGAAGATACTATAATGAGTTGTATAAAGAATAAATAGTGAGGAATCGGCAATTGAAGGAATGAAGCCCAGTTGAACTAGAAAAGCACTGAGGTGTTGATGCTAGGCTTGAGGAGCCTGTTTGAGACCATAAAGAGATTGCTATAATTTGCAGACATAACGGGGATGAGCAGAATCAACAAAGCCATGGGGCTGCTCCTATGAAAATTTCTTCTGTTAGATGACCATGAAGAAAGGCGTTCTTCACATCAAGCTGTCGGAGTTGCCACCCACAAGAAAAGGCAATAGAGAGGACAATGCGAACTGTCACATTCTTGACGACAGGGCTGAAAGTCTCATTGTAGTCGATGCCTTCTTGTTGATGGAATCCCTTTGCAACCAATAGGGCTTTATACCGCTTAAGAGAACCATCGGCACGGAGCTTAACCTGGAAGACCCATTTGCAGCCGATGGGTTTACAATTCGGAGGAGGAGACACTAATGTCCAGGTCTGATTTTTTATGGGGGTAGTGTATTCATCTGCCATAGCCGTACGCCAATTTGCATCTTTCACAGTTTGACTAAAGCAAGAAGGTGTGACAAAATTTGACATAGAGGTGGCCAACGCATAAGTGTGATCAGTGCGAATGTGTCTACGGGCTAAAGTGCCATCATGAAGGCATGTCACCATAGGATGTGTCAGCTGATCTGGTGGATTTGGAGGAGAAGCTGTTGGCAGGATTGGTGAAGCTACGGACTGAGAGGGAGACCCATCAGCGGGTTCATGCAGTGAGGTTTCGGACACACCTAAATTGCACTGATTTTGCAGCAAGGAATTAGCATACTGCAAATCGCAATTAGAGGGAGAACAAGGCTCGCGTGGTGGTTGCTGTGGCAGAGGAGTTCTAGACCACTCAGCAGAAATAAGCGGCTGAATGGTTGCGGCAGCCTCCGAAGATGATTGCAGAGTGTTTTGCACATAAGGGAGATCTAATTCGTCAAACACTACATCAGCAACAATGTAGAACCGTCGATGCTGAGGGGAATAATACCGGTATCCTTTGTATCCTGATGGGTAGCCCGAGAAAATGCATCGGTGTGACCTTTGTTGCAGTTTATTCTTCGCATAGGGTCGAAGATTGGGATACATTGTACAGCCAAAAACTCTGAGATGAGCAATAGATGGAACCATTTGAAATAATATCTCCCATGGTGATTCATTCTGCAGAATCGGTGTGGCAGCCGATTGATAATGTGTACAGTTGCTTCAAAAGCAAAGTCCCAATAATGATGGGGGACAGAAGCATGATAGAGCATCGTGAGTCCCATTTCAATTATATGGTGATGTTTGCACTCGGCTGAGCCATTCTAAAGGGGTAGGCGTGGACAGGAGGTCTTGTGAAAAATACCTTTTGCTTGCAATAATTGAACAAACGGTGCAAAGATAAACTCTCCCGCACGGTCAGATTGAAAAGCTTTGACCTTAGTGTTAAGTTGATTTTCAACGAAGGCGAGGAAAACAATGACAGTAGATAAGAACTGGTCGCAGGAGTGAAAAAGATAAAACCAAGAAAATTTAGAGTAATCATCCACAAAACAAACATAGTATTTATTATTTTGGGACGACGTGATGGGAGCAGGCCCCTAGACATCAAAGTGAACTAGTTCTAGGGGAGCCTTGGACCTACTAGTTGTTGGTGGATGAGACTTTTTATGACTCTTCCTGGAAAGACAAGCTGAACAAACTGGAACAAGACTTAACAACTTATTGAAGATTCTTGAAATAGTAGGAAATGCGGCATGACCAAGATGACGATGCCAATGGGTGAGTGACTCCACTTGAGAAACGAAGCAGGATAGAGACGTAGGTGACAATGATGAGAGTGCGTAGAGGCCTTGATTAATGTCCCCTCGGAGAAGGATCTTGCCTGTACGACGGCACTTCACAAAGAAATAGTTCAGTGAGAAAATAAAGTCATATGAATTTTCAGTAGAGAATTGATGAACAGAAATTAAGTTCTTAGTGATAGACGGAATGACCAGGATAATAGACATGCGGAAATTTCGGGTAATAAGGGTACCTATGTGAGTGATGGGAAGACTTGACCCATTACCTATGGTGACCTGTTGAGTGCCATGATATGGCTGAACTGAGGACAACTGATGAAGATTTTTGGTAATGTGATGTGTGGCACCCGAGTCGGGATACCAGGCATCAGGAGAAAGCACCGATGGTGGAGGAGGTATCTCAGCCAATTGAATTTGTGGTGGAAATGACTGCTGCTGGTGCATGTGGCCTCCAGAGAACCCAAATTGTTGGTTGAACCGATTGTGGCAAGCAACAGCCTTGTGTCCCGGGTGATTGCAAATCTGGCATCTCACATTGCTACGTCTTTGATTTTTGTCGCCATTGAAATTTTAGTACTGAGAGTTGCTCGGATTATTGAAGTTGGGCTGCTGTCCATGAGGATTAAGATTCCTCTGTTGCCCCGTATTTGAGTTGGGGCTGTTGAAATTGGCAGTAGGGCCACGCTGTGAATGGGAATTTTGTCCCAAGCTGGTATTGTGCGCGACGAAGGCAGCTGGTTGGGTGGTTTGTGGTTCCTGGAGCTCCAACAGTGCCTCATGAGCCAAGAGAAGGCCATGAAAAGACTTCATGGTCATTTGTTGATGCTGAGTGTGAACCGAAATTACAACAGCCAAGCTTTGAAACTCAGCTCCTAGGCCTCGGAAGATATGCATTCGGTACTCTTGTGGTGAGATGATCTCACCGATGGAGGCCAATTGATCAGATATGAAAGTAGCTTGTTGAAGAAATTCGATTACTGTTTGATTACCTTTTTGCATCGTCTGAAGTTGCAACCGCAATTGGGTAACTCGCGCACTGTTTTGAGCAGCGAAAGATGCAGAGAAGAAATTCCACACATCATGAGAGGTGCTCAGATTAGA